CTATTCTAAATATGTATGTATCCAATACAGGAACACCCAGATTCAGAAAGCAAGTTCTTAAAGACCTACAAAGAGACACAGACTCTCACACTATAATAGTGGGAGACTTTAACACCCCACTGTCAATACTGGACAGATCAACAAGACAGAAAATTAACAAGGATATTCAGGACTTGAACTCAGCTCTGGACCAAGCAGACCTAATAGACATTTACAGAACTCTCCACATCAAGTCAACAGAATATACATTCTTCTCAGCACTACACTGCACTTATTCTAAAATTAACCACACAATTGGAAGTAAAACACTCCTCAGCAAGTGCAAAAGGATGGAAATCATAACAAACAGTATCTAAGACCATAGTGCAATCAATTTAGAACTCATGATTTTTAAAAAAATCACTGAAAATTGCACAACTACATGGAACTGAACAACCTGCTCCTGAATAACTATTGGGTAATAACACAATAAAGGCAGAAATAAAAGTTCTTTGAAACCAATGAGAACAAAGACACAACATACCAGAATCTCTTGTACATAGCCAAAGCAGTATTCAGAGGGAAATTTACAGCACTAAATGCCCTCAAGAGAAAGTGGGAGAGATCTAAAATCGACACCCTAACATCACAATTAAAAGAACTGTAGAAGCAAGAGCAAACAAATTCAAGAGCTAGCACAAGAAAATAAATAACTAATATCAGAACTGAACAGGAGATAGACACATGAAAAATCCTTAACAATCAGCGAACCCAGGAGCTAGTTTTTTTTAAAAGATTAACAAAGTTGACTGCTAGCCAGACTAATAAAGAAGAAAAGAGAGAAGAATTAAAAAGATACAATAAAAAATGATAAAAGGGATATTACCACTGATCCCACAGAAATACAAAGTACCATCAGAGAATACTATAAACACCTCTATGCAAATACACTAGAAAATCTAGAAGAAATGGATAAATTCCTGGACACATACACCCTCCTAAGACTCAACCAGGAAGAAGCAAAATTCCTGAATAGACCAATAACAAGTTCTGAAATTGAGGCAGTAATTAATAGCCTACCAACCAAAGGGGTGGGGGAAGCCCAGGAACAGACAGATTCACAGCAGAATTCTACCAGAGGTACAAAGAGGAGCTGGTACCATTCCTTCTGAAAATATTTCAAACCAGAGCAAAAGAGGGACTCCTCCCTAACTCATTTTATGAGGCCAGCATCAAACTGATACCAAAACCTGGCAGAGACACAACGCAAAAAGAAAATTTCTGACCAATATCCCTAATGAACACTGATGTGAAAATCCTCAATAAAATACTGGCAAACCGAATCCAGTGGCACATCAAAAAGATTATCCACTACGATCAAGTTGGCTTCATCTCTGGGATGCAAGGCTGGTTCAACATATGCAAATCAATAAATGTACTCCATCACATAAACAGAACCAATGACAAAAACACATGATTATCTCAATAAATGCAGAAAAGGCCTTTGATAAAATTCAACACCCCTTCATGCTAAAAACACTCAATAAACTAGGTATTGATGGAATGTATCTCAAAATAATGAGAGGTATTTATGACAAAACCATAGCCAATATTACACTGGGCAATGACTGGAAGCATTCCCTTTGAAAACCAGCACAACACAAGGATGTTCTCTCTCACCACTCCTATTCAACATAGTATTGGAAGTTGTGGCCAGGACAATCTGGCAAGAGAAAGAAATAAAGGGTCTTCAAACAGCAAAAGAGGAAGTCAAGTTGTCTCTGTTTGCAGATGATATTATTGTATATTTAGAAAACCCCATTGTCTCTGCTCAAAATCTCCTTAAGCTGATAAGAAACTTCAGCAAAGTCTCAGGATACAAAATCATGTGCTATACACCAATAATAGACAAACAGAGAGCCAAATCATGAGTGAACTCCCATTCACAATTGCTACAAAGAGAATAAAGTACCTAGGAATACAACTTAACAAGGGATGTGAAGGACACTTCAAGGAGAACTACAAACCACTGCTCAAGGAAATAAGAGAGGACACAAACAAATGGAAAAACATTCCATGCTCATTGATAGGAAGAAACAATTTTGTTAAAATGGCCATATTGGCCAAAGTAATTTATAGATTGAGTTCTATCTCCATCAAGCTACCATTGACTTCACAGAATTAGAAAAAAACTGCTTTAAATTTCATATGGAACCAAAAAAAGAGCCCGTATAGCCAAGATAATCCTAAGCAAAAAGAACAAAGCTGGAGGCATCATCCTACCTGGTTTCAAAGTATACTACAAGGCTACAGTAATCAAAACAGCATGGTACCAAAACAGATGTATAGACCAGTGGAACAGAATGGAGACCTCAGAAATAACACCACACATCTACAACCAACTGATCTTCAACAAACCTGACAAAAACAAGCAATGGGGAAAGTATTCCCTATTTAATAAATGGTGTTGGGAAAACTGACTGGCCATATGCAGAAAACTGAAACTAGACCCCTCCCTTATACCTTATATAAAAATTAACTCAAGATGGATTAAAGACATAAGTGTAAGACCTAAAACCATAAAATCCCTAGACAAAAATCTATGCAATACCATTCAGGACATAGGCATGGGCAAAGACTTCATGGCTAAAACACCAAAAGCAATAGCAACAAAAGCCAAAATAGAGAAATGGGATCTAAGTAAACTAAAGAGCTTCTGCAGAGCAAAAGAAACTATCATCAGACTTAACAGGCAACCCTCAGAATGGAAAAAAATTTTTGCAATTGCTCCATCTGACAAAGGGCTAATATCCAGAATCTATAAGAACTTTAACAAATTTACAAGAAAAAACCTCATCAAAGAGTGGGCAAAGGATATGAACAGACACTTCTTAAAAGAAGACATTTATGTGGCCAACAAATGTGAAAAAAAAAAAAAACAAAAAAAACTTATCATCACTGGTTATTAGAGAAATGCAAATCAAAACCACATTGAGATACCATCTCACACCAGTTAGAATGGAGAATCATTAAAGTCAGGAAACAACAGATGCTGGAGAGGATGTGGAGAAATAGGAATGCTTTTACACTGTTGGTGGGAGTGTAAATTAGTTCTATTGTGGAAGACAGTGCAGTGATTCCTCAAGGATCTAGAACCAGAAATACCATTTGACCCAGTAATCCCATTACTGGGTATATACCCAAAAGAGTATAAATCATTCTACTATAAAAACACATGCATGCATATGTTTACTGCGGTACTGTTCACAATAGCAAAGACTTGGAACCAACCCAAATGCCCATCAGTGATAGACTGGATAAAGAAAATGTGGTACATAAATACAATGGAATACTATGCAGCCACATAAAAGATGAGTTCATGCCCTTTGTAGGGACATGGATGAAGCTGAAAATCATCATTCCCAGCAAACTTAACACAGGAACAGAATACCAAACACTGCATGTTCTCACTCGTAAGTGGTGGTTGAACAATGAGAACACATGGATGTGGGTGGGGAACCCACATAATGGGCCTGTCAGGGGGTAGGGTGCTAGAGAAGGATAGCATTAGGAGAAGAAATGCCTAATGTAGATGATGGGTAGATGGGTGCAGCAAACCACCAAGGCACATATATACCTATGTAACAAACCTACACATTCTGCACATGTATCCCAGAACTTAAAGTAAAATAACAAAAGTTTTCAAAAAAAAAATAATCTACATTTTAATTCAAAAATGAAAGTGAAAGCCTCTAGAGAAGTTTATGGCACACTTAGCTTTATTGAAATTCAACAAATGCTTTTTAAAATAATCCCTTGTACAGCACATGTAAAATTTAATTATTTCCTTATATTTTTACAGGATGTCTTTTATCTGAGTAAGCAAAAATACGTCTTTTTTTTTTCTTACGTAAAACATGTAGCCAGTATTCAAACCACGAAGCTCTGGTACCAAAAAGGCAACAGGTTATGAAAATCACAGTACCATTTTAAAATTCTTTAAGTTAGTTAAGAATATTTTAAAACAATGTTCACTTAGATTGACAGTAGAAATCATGGGTCAGTTAACATTAGGACTAGTAGTTACACCTACAATGTGAGCAGAAATGGAAGGTTCAAGCTGACCTGAGCTACACTGTTCAGGACACATCATCTACACAAATACTGTAGCTGAGTAGCTGCAATGGCTGAGTCACAGTTGGGCAATTAAAGTCACAGGTAAATATAGCCAAAGCAAAAATACGTACGTGTGTGTGTGTGTGTGTGTGTGTGTGTGTGTGTGTAGTGTGTGTATATATATATATATATATATATATATATATATATATAGAGTACGCTAACTCGGATGTAAAATAAAGTGGGTATTTATCCGTGTACACTATCAAATTAATTACACAATACACAATTTAAACTTCAAAATTTTATCTTAGAAAGAAAAATAAGATTAAAATGCACACCTATATGGACAGTAAAGTAGAAATTTTTTTGTCATTGGTGTTTACTTTGTCATTGTTATTTACTGGATAAGTAGAAATAATTTACGATCCACAAAAGGATTTCTCAGGTGAAACACTAATTACAGACATTGTAAAGAACATAGCTTAGGAGGCTTGTTTTTAAAAACGAGGCAGCATTTTCCTGAAAAAGTTTGGTCCTCAACTCACTGTAGGCTAGTCACTGTGGTCAGATGGTTAAGCATTTTTGAGAGAGAGGGGTGTGTGTGTGTGTGTGTGTGTGTGTGTGTGTGTGTGTGTGTGTGTAGCTAACTTTTCAGTACCATAATTATTCCAAGCCAAACCAAACTAAAAGGACCAAAAGGCAGACAGCCCTTGAGAACTTGACCCTGCGTATCATGTCTGATTGATGCACATATCATGTCTGACTGAAAGAACAATGCTAAAGACTATGGAAGGGAATTATGCTCCCATGATTCTGCAACCCCTTAAGTTTGTGCAGTTTTCTTCATTGCCCGTATAACTTGTCTTTTTTCATGTAGGTGCCAGGAAACCCACCCCCATGACCCTCCCTCCCCCCTCCCTCAATCTTCTCCTCTGTCAAAGTGATGATATAAAGACAATTTCACTGTGTATTTACAAGCACAACACTGAGGCAAGAAGGTCCCAGGGTCTGTAGGGCACATCTATTTCTTGTGGACATCTTCATGCCGAATGATCTTGTACGTGATCCAGTAAAAGATGTTGAAAATGAGGAAGGCCAATGGGAAGGCAGCTCGAGATATTGTGTCAATCCTTTTTGCGCGGTCCACAAACTTCTTCTTGATAGCATCTGCATCTTTTGGGGGTTGTGGGAGTGGGTTGGCAGGTGTGGCCTTGACAGCTGTTCCATCTTTCACTTGGAGGCAGTGACCCATTCCATAACCACTAAAATTAAAACGACTTTCACGAGTAACGTCTTCTTCCTGACAGAATAAAGACAGAGGAAGCACAGATTGGTTGTCAGTCAAGTTAGGTGGAAGATGCTTAAAATTCTTTAGAAGTAAAAGGATAAATCACAGTTAACTGGTGGTGTGGGAGGCTTTTGGAATAGGGAGTTCTCTTTCAAGTTCAACTTAATTATTCATGGAACAGATACAGTTCATTAACTTTTCAGACTGAGAAATTAAGGGTAAGAATAATGACTTTGTGATCATTTTAAGTAATTAACAAACAAAGACCTACATTGTATTCAGTACTGACTTTCCCAAAATCTAGTTCATTAATCCCTAGATGTGAATAGAGATTTTAAAGCAGTTCTATAAATCCCAATGTTACACTGTAAATCTCTGAAGATGACCATTCATTCATTCATTCATTCATTCATTCAGAAAACGTACTGAGCCTGTGCTGTGTGTCCAAGTAACTTATAGTATTGTGGTTCATGCACAGTGCAGTTCCTCCATTAACATTAGCTTTAATGCTGATGTTACATCTAAGATAAGCCCCTTGAATATACACCTGTTCCCCTTCCAGCCCTCTTGTTCATTTCAGTTATATAGCAGAGATTAAATATTCATTAATAATTTTATTTTTCCAGTGATGATTTTCAAAATTTGGCTAGTGAATCATCTCTACCATATTTAAATGTGTCATTTTAGCTGATGTCATTTATATTTGTATTGATTATTTCTACATAAATTATATAAAAGTCTGAAAAATTGTATTCCTTGGTGTAAAAGACAAAAATTATATTTATTCCTTGGTGTAAAGGCCTTAAAAATGTATGGAATCTGGGTGTGTGGTTCAGTCAAAGGAGGGCGTCAAATGATGGGGCTGAAAAGGTGGGATTGAAATGACTTAGCTGTAAACTGCCATCAATTGAATTATCTTCTTCTGTAACTAGATTACTGCCTTCCACAATAATAGCAACTCCTCTGAGTCAGCAGAGGCACTGAACTCTGTATCTTGCCAGATAATAATAATGGTTACGTTTCCCAAAAGACTAGGAAACTTGGTGTTAATTTTATTTCATTAATGCTTACTGCATGTCTGTAGTGTCTTCAGCCACACATAAAAGGTATACTAAATGAAGGACTTATAATATGAATGACTGCCTAATTGTAACTCAAATGAATGGTACAGCAAGGACAAATTGTACCTTGTGTACTTAAATGAGTTTTGTAAGTTCAACAGCAGATCTCTGGAGAGGTAAGGAAGGTAAGAAGAACTATTTCAGTTAATTACACTATCATGTGCAAAATGGGGAATGAAATAGCATGGAACAGTTTAAAGGGAAGTGCAAGGACTTCAGAATAGGTAGGTTAGATTATAGTATATATGCTCAGAGGAGCAGCTGCAGAACCTGGAAAGCAGAACAGATTAGCTAGATTAGTGTAGTACCCAGGTGCCACCTCCCTTTATGGGAGATACATGCAGCCTGAAAATTAAGAAGAGTATTCAGCAGAGTCTTTTGAGGCTTTGATTTATTGACATTGTCCATTGTGATAGAGTATCTCTGGTGAAGCCAGCCCTAAACCTGGCTGAACATTGCATTGCAACCTGGCAGTGACTTGGAATTTGAGCTGAAGAGATAGCAAGTGTGAATAGTTGCCAAATATTCCATGTCATCCTTCACCATATAAATTTGATCTCTAGAAAAATCAGTCTAGAAAACAGAAACCTCATTTGCTTGATACATTAGTAGATCTCATTAATGAATGTACCTAGTGCTTCCAATAAAAACCATTAACTATAACCTTTATTATTATTATTATTTGAGTCAGAGTCTCACTCTATTGCTCAGGCTGGGCTGAACTGGCATGATCACAGCTCACTGCAGCCTTGACTCAAGTGATCCTCCTGCCTCAGACTCCTGAGTAGCTGGGACTACAGGTATGAGCCACCATGCCCAGCTAATTTTTTTGTTTAACTTTTTGTAGAGATGGGGTCCCACTCTGTTGCTAAGGCTAATCTTGAACTCCTGGGCTCACATGATTTTCCTGCCTTGACCTAGTTGTCACATTTAATCAGACCATTATATCACAAAAATCAGACCAAAGCTCCTTTAAAAGTAACTGTAAAAGTACTATTTTATAAAGCCATCTTTCCATAATTTTATTTATATGGGATTGTCCTACACACGTTGGCTAAAGGCATTCTATCTCATTTCTTAACAAAATATAATAAGGGATTTTTAATTCGACCATTAATTGTTGAGTGTTGCCTGTGTGACAAGCATTGTACTAGGTGCTAGGAGACAGTGGATGAAGTTGGTCAAGGTCTCTACCTGCATGGAGCTTTCAGAATCTGGTAGAAGGGGCAAAATTAAAGGTATTATCATATAGGAAGTCAGCAAACAAAATCCAGCCTAACATCTGAGTACTTCCATGTGCTCAGCTATATAAACTCGATAATGAAGACTTAAATGGGACCCAGATTCAAATATTAAATCTGTGTTCTTTGCCTTAAAATATGAATGATATATTTTATGGATGTAAAAGTTTCAAATAAGTGAAGCTTTTCAAAATGTGGAATAACCAGATATATTAATTATTATAGTGTCATCGGTGTCCTCATAAGTGTCTGAAGACGTATTTAGTGCTTAGCAAGAAAAGGAAGCACACACAGGTCATTAGGAGGAGGGGACCTGTTACAGGCAGTCTTGGACTTCCCAACTACTACTAATTGATAATTAGATCTCAGCCAATATGTGAGTAAAGTGAAAATGATGCCAGTTGGTTTAGTAAAGAGAGATCTGCTCTGGAAATTTGGATATTTTTGTTCTTTGCCTGCTCCAAGGCTTCTAAGCTGTGTTGACCTTAGGCAAGCTACTTATTCTTTCAAGGCCTCAGGGACCTCATGCCAAAAATGTCAAGGCTGCGCTGAATCTGTGTGTTTCAGCTTTGGCTGCTGGGGAACTTTTACAAATACATGTATGCCTGCCTCCCCTCCCAGCCCCTTTTAGACCAGTCTCTGGGGATGAGAACTTAGGATCTATATTTTTAAAGATCCAGTGACTAATGTAAAATGTTGAAAACCATTGGTCTAGATGAGTTCTGATGTTCATCTCTAAAATGTACAACCTATTCTATATTATTAAGCCTAAAATTACTATTCAAATAGAAACAACCCCTCAAAATACCTTTCTTCTTATCTGCCCAAATTTACTGTGCTGTTTTTTTCCTTTCCATATCTGCAGAATCTTGCAAATTACAGTTCTCACCTCTATAAACCTTCAGAAACTCACGATTAAGCATATAGTTCACTGCCTGAGTAAGATAATATTCTTTCAAATTCAGAAGCCACTAAAGAAATAGAAAGGGTAGGTAGATAGTAAACTGTTTTTAGCACACAAAGCAAGAGGAAACTTAAATATACATGTCCACATGTCTTTTCAGACTGACTCATTCATTTGATTTCTATAGTCCTTCATCACATACTGTGAATGGACAGCTGAAAAGATTAACTCATTCAATTAACTACCAGAGCTAGAATAGAAGGATGCCAGGTTAGAATCTCATTATATTGTACATTGTCATGCAAACTGTGGGTGCTTAATAAACATTTGCTGAATAATGAGTGAAAGGGAATTTTAAGAGGGTTTTCCCTGTACTTGAAAGTACTTTCCTCATTCATTCAACACTATTTCAAATTAGGCTTCTGAGCATAGTTATAGCTAATTAAATCCATTCTTTAAAATTCTCTGCCACAAAAATAAATCTGTTGTGGGTAAAAATTATCCATTTAAGTTTTTATATGCAGGATGTATAAATGCTAGTTTAAGGGTCTTCTTATTTACCATTATGATGCATTCAATGCCTTTTAAATATAGAACTTTATGATATTCACATCAAAGGAGATGGTTTTGATTCAGAAAACATAATTGCAAACAATGTGAATTTTTTTTGTTATAATAAATGACTAATTGCTTTTCTAGCAGGTTCAAAATAAAATGTTATGGTAATATGACAAGATTCCTATATGAAATGAGCTTGCATCATGTATAAACTGAAACTAAAATAAAGAACAATCTGTAGGCACAGCTGAGTTGAGCACCTAACTGAGTAGAGTCAGTTAGGTACTTCCAGTTTAGAAAGAATTAATTTTAGGCATATATTCTCCATTTCTTCTAACTAGCCAGGAACTCAATTAGTTAATTATCAATCATCTTCCATCTTTAGTAACAGCAATAAACACTTCTAGTTGACCCTCTTTTGTTATTCACTGATTAAATTCTCTCAGAAAATGAACCATCCAGTCAAGGTTTTAATACATGCAATTTTTATATCCCACTTTGATAAGGTCTCCTTAATCCTGTCTGCTGTGTGAAGTGCTGCCATGGCACTATGCAATTTACTTGAAATTTATTATCTAATTTAATCTATTTTATGCATCTGTTTTACTTATTGTAAAATTTGCTCATTCTTATGTTTAGAATAATTCTTGTCTTGTTGTGAAATTGGAAAAAGCCCACCAGAATTGCATTGTAGTGAATTGTCATAAGCAAATTATTTCAATATAATTAAAGAACATGGTACTTACAAACTAAAACATTTTAGCAGAGTCTATATTTGTAATTTTTCTTTTATTCTTGAGATAGGAGGAAATAAAACTCTGAAAAATTGAGATGGGGAAAATATTTCCATCACATTTCTCACCCAGATTTTTTGATTGGACTAAGCCTTCTTTCTGTTGGATCAGGAAATTTCTCAGTTAGAACCAAAGGTTGTAGTGAGTCTCGCTCAATGCAAGGACATAACAGACTCTCTGGTTCTTCTTAGGAAGCAGTATATGTTCAAACATGGTGGGTTTTCACTGAAAAAGGCTCCCAAGCAAATGATGGTTGAATGATGCTTAATCACAGACCTGGTAACTTCTATTAGCTGCATATAAGGGGAATGGCCTTGAGACATTTTCTTCAACTCTTAGGCCTTCAATTTCCTCCTTTGTATCATGGGTACTATGGAAATATATGTAAATAATA